AGCACTCTTTAATGGGATCAGCTACTTCCTCATACGATTTTAATATTATTTATATTATTTGTTAAATAGGATATGTGTTTTAAAGATAAAGGGGTTACTCCGAGTTTCACACGKTCATCGCGATCATCAACKAAATAGGATATTCATGTTGTAAATTGATATTTTAGATTAATTTTTATATAATTTGAATTATATCGACTTGATTCGAAAGCGTTGCTGATTAATAATTTAATATAGATGAACCACCACTTTGCACAAAATCCTGTCGGAATAGAAATTAGTCCAGTCCTGGCCTCTCGTTTCCGACGCTCGCGGAATCGCTGGGGAAAGAGAGTCCAGTATAACTTGCATGTGACATTGAAAATGGTCACTCGCTTCAATATTTTATTATATAATCAATACTCGGTGTAAAAAAAACTCGAAAATACTATAATGTTATAGTCTAGTTCAATTTTTTAATCATGGAGGGAGGAGGAGGAGGTTTGCATGGACAAAAGCAGCGGAAAACGGCATACCGTTCTTTCTTCTGATCCGTGTTACTGAARTAATGAGAACGAATGTCTAGTATTGTGATCACACCCATCAATGTATGAAAACATTTTTTTTTAGAATATTCCATTGTTACATCAATGGTGGTGCATCATTTGGTTCCAAGAATTCCTATGGATGAAGTATTTAGGGTTGTTCCTAATATCAGTGAGTAGCATTCTTGTGTAAATACAGTCATCTGATCTGTAGCTTATTCTAAGTAATTATAATTWTTTGATTTTTATCGTCATTCTAAACATCTTCAAGACTAACTGAATTATTAGATGAAAATCTAGTATCCTTCAGAAATTGCCACTAGCAAATTATCATGCAGGCATGTACCATAGAATTTAATCATGGRTGTTCAAAGATCTTTTGGTAGGATGCAATTAAAGATTCTAGTTTGTTTTATAGGAAGGAAACTGTATCGTCTCTGGTCTAGGTTATAACGGCAAGACAGAGGATGGGAAAGCAAAATGGGATGGTGTTACCAATATGAAGATTCTTAGTTATGAAACATCCTACACTGTGCAGGTTAGTTATCCATCCTACCATTCATGTGTCTTTTAATCCATTCATTCATTCCTCGCTTCTGTCATAATTMATAATTAATGAGCTCCAATAAGGGTTGTCTATTTGGTCAAGTGATTGAACTTTTAAATCCTTTAAGCCACAAGGAAAAAGTCTCAGATTTATTAGTATAAACATATTAATGGTCTATCACTCATACTGCGCTGTTATTGGCTACTCTACTAATGGTCTAATCAAAAATTAAACAAGACTTACCTGTAAGTTGAAGTTTGATTGGGATTCTGCCGAGTCATCRTTAGCACAAGAAGTCACGTGAGAAAGCACTAGCCGACCGAGTAGTCAGTCTTTAAAGCCATGAGTGGCAATCAGCACAAACAAGAAGTCTGGGTGGGTACATTCCACATCATGGGTGTGGTGTGACTTTTTGTGCTAATGATGTAGCCTGAGTATCAGGCTCTCTSGAGGCCTCTCTCTCCTTTCTTGCTCCGCCCCAAACCCCTTCGAGAGAGCCTGATACTCMGGCTACTAATAATGACTCGGCAGATTCCCAATCAAACTTCAACTTACAGGTAAGTCTCGTTTAATTTTTGATTCTGCCTCGTCATAACGCACTGCAAAGTCACGTGAGATTTCAAAGCAATTGATTGCACACGAATGAATAAACATTCATTTACATAACTTGTTTGTTTAATCTAACAACATTATAAATAAGTTACACGTTAAATTGACAAAACACTGTCTTTTCTGTCTCGATGTGTTTATCATAAAACTTTGCAAAAGTTGCAGCTGAACTCCACCCTTCTGTATTCATAATCTCAAGTAGGGAAGCTTTGTTTGCCTTAGCCTTAGATGTACATGTAGCTGCTGCTCTAACACTATGAGGTTTGTACACATTAATGTCAACCCCAGCATTCATCATAACTTGATGAATCCATCGTCTGATTGTGTCTCTACTTGCATTCTTGTGAGGTTTCTGGTATGTGAGAAAAAGTTTGGTTTCCTCACCTCTAACTGAACTTGTCTTGTCTAAATAAATGGAACATGTGTGAACAACACAAAGTTTCTTGAGGATAAGCCTTTAACTTAATAATGAGTTGCGATTGTGATTTTGTAGGTTTACTTTGCTTCACATTATCGTTTAACATGAATACATATGGTATCAGGTTATTTCGCACAAGAGACCGTTCGCACAAGTCGTTTCGCCCGAAGTTTCGGACCGTTCGCACAATTCTCATATCGATGGATAGTCATTTCGCACAGAAAATAAAACGCCTCAAAGAAAGATACGAAAGATATATCAATCTACTCACTTTCGATGAAATCTTATGGCTTTTAATTCAATATTTATGGAAAAAATTTCAACGAACTCGAACGYGACACTATTAAAAACGACGACTCAACAACTTGGTTTTGTACGAGCACTACACTGGATGAGAAAAGAAACACACATGTTTCTCTATTTAGAGGATGAATAAACCCAATTCTCTTTAATTCCTTATAGTTGATAACTGATTAACGGTTACTATAACTGTTTATAACGACATTTGTATGGCTTTTTCAATCACGAACGCGATATTCTAGAACACTTGATCACTTGAGACAACTTTATTACGCGCGACTTGGTTAAAATTTGTAAATTTCCAACATGTCCAAATACTTGGATAATCGAGACTAGAGTGAAATTAGTAAAAGCGTGCCAAATCAACCGTCAAAAGCTGTATTTAGGTAGTCTTTTCTACTGGGGMTGTAAACAAACAGGCAAAGTTTTGTAAATGCATTTTTAAGGCCATTTCTTAAACTTTTTGAAGCGCGATTGTCGAGTGACCATCACCTGAGCTTCGAATATGCTTGAAATTTAGCTTCAACATCGTGGCGATTAAAAATCAAACGATCTGGATCTGTTTTTCCAGTGATTTACTAGTAGCATTGCTGTACATACCAGTTTGTGTCGAAGGAGTTCAATATAAATCGGCGCGAGGCGACGAACTTCAATTTATTCCCTACTCGACCACGTAGCCATTTTACGTAGATTTGAAGTTTTATATCAATAAAATTAAGAAATAGCGTCCTCTAAAACAGTGGAAGAAATAAAATCTTGAACGTTCGCCATCTACAAATTCTAGTAAAACATTTTTGTGTAGTTTTCTTTGACTTTGTTCCTTGTCCAGCCTAAGCGTGTTTCTATTAGCGTGTTTCTATTAGCGTGTTTCTTCTAGCGGATTCATATTCAGATATTTCATCCTAATAAGTCTAACTTGAAAGACATCAACAACAATTTTCGAAATGGCAAAGAAAAAGCCGAACCAAACAGGATAAACAGAACAACAAAGGCAGGAAAGAAGGAGAGAAAAACGCGCCRACCGCGGTACCGCGTTCGATCGATTGTGTATACAAATTCAGAAACACTGTTATTTCAAGCTAGTAATAGGCGATATGCATTATGGCGTCATTTACTACAACTACCAGAATGCTTTGCCAACTTTCGTTTGTGATGCAATTAGTGCCAATTGTTTTATTAATCTCCACAGGGATTAAAAATCTGAATRACAATGAAAAATGCGCAAGGCTCTCTGGTAGTTGTAGTAAAGTTACGTCATAATGCAAACGGCCTATTAGGAATTTATTTAATATAGTACAGTAAGAATCTCAATAAAATTATTTTGCTCACTTATAATTTTCTGTGCGAAGTGTCTTCTTAAAATTGTGCGAACGGTCCGAAATATTTTTTTTTATTTATTAGCTTTGCCCCTAGTATGGGCAGGGACACCGCAACAGCGTGAGCCAATTACTGCGGACCCTGTACTCTCACACTCACTACCTCTACTTTAAGTATTTTAGCACACATCACTCCTCACGTGTTGATTTTTACTGAGGGAGGAAAACCGGAGGACCCGGAGAAAAACCCTCGTGGCAAGKKAGAGAACAACACATCAAACAAACTCAAACTCACATATGGTCCGTGCCCGGGAATCAAACCCGGACCACAGCGAAACAATGGGCGAAACAACTTGTGCGAACGGTCTTTTGGGCGAAATGACCTGTATTCATACATGTAATTCTTGTTCTTTGACCATTCCCCCTATGTCCATAAGGTGCAATGATTGTCCTCGTTGAGCAACTAGCATAACAAACTTCAGTGTGAGATCTTTTAATGTTAATTTCTCATTGTCCTCCATTGATTCAAAATACTGGAGTACTAGACTTATATCCCATGTCTTGTTATAGCGAGGTAGAGGAGGACGGATCTGGAAAATACCTTTCATAAATCTCTTGACATCTGGGTGCTCTCCAAACGAGACACTATTTGATCCAGAGATGTCTAATATGGCTGATAGAGCACATCTTGCTGTGTTAATACTGCTGTAAGATAGTCCATATTCATATGACATTGTCACGAATTCAACTGCTGCCCCTATAGTTGGTTGAACTGGATCAATTTCCCTTTCACCACAGAAGATAAGCCATTTCTTAATGTGGGTGTCGTACTGTTTCCTTGATGAGTGTCGCCATGACTGTAATACGATGTTGGTAGCTTTCTCAGAAAAGCCTCTGTTCTT